TTAAGTATGTTTTTGAAATATATAATTTATAACTGTTAAGCTATTTATATAATCATCTAATGGGCACCTTTTTTGTTCACTGTCCTCTCAAGTGGTGAGGTTAATAATTTTAAATAGACAAGATTGCTTTTCCAAATGATGAATTTACTGAAATGATCACCTCTCAAAATATATGTTTCGGGTCCTTATGTGACGTTTTCCTGTTATTAGTCGCAGGTTAGTTGACCTTGTATAACAGCAGCAGAGACTTCACATGTTGTAAGATGTTTTAGTACTGCAGCTGAAAGAGGAACTTTCTTTTATAGCCCACACAGCTTCAACAGAAGCTTTCTGTTCCTTTCACTGCACGCTGACAAGATAATGAGCCACTTTCCAAACACTGGAGGCTTTTGTTTAACTTCTGTTTAAACAGTGCTACCACATTTGCTGGTGTGCAGGGGGGATGATTTTACATTTTTGTATCTGAATGGGCTGAACTGTGAGAAATGCCAGTGGTTTTATGGTCTCCTCTTTCCCTAACCACATCACCACAGCAGTATAATTGACTCTGTGTGGATGAATCTTTGATGTAGAGTGGCAGCGTACGCACTCAGTTCAGAACATGTTATATTAAGAATGCAGCTATAGGTTTCAAACATTATTCATCTGCAAGATTTAGAGAAATGATGAAGAGTGGACAGGATGAAGGATTCCTGAAAGAAAACTGTATTACTCTAGCGCTAGAACGAACCCTTTGCAAAACTGCTCCTTACGTTGAAAAAGACCAGAAATTTGAACTTTTTTCACATACATTTAACAATTCTCATGAGGGTTAGGGACAGAAAAGAAAAAGAAAGGAAGAAAAAAAAAAAGAGAAAAAGTCCAAAGCCAGTGGATAAATTCTTCATGGACAGACACATTTCACATTTTCAAGAAGTTTACTTCCTGGATCCCTCCTCTCTCAGCTGCTGTTTCCTGACTTCACACTTTGCCTCACAGCCCCAACAACACCATCACTGTGTCTATGTTCCTGTTAACTGTATTTTACTTAAAGCATTCTTATCAATGTCATTTCTTGTAACATGCACTGGATTTGCAATAGTAACTTTGAACAAGTCTAAGTGAAGACATATTTCTGTAGCTTTAATGCTCATTAGTCTCAGTAACTTGGTTCATAAATCAAGAATTACGTCTGCATGACCTTTTAAGTCTGGGGCTAGTACTGCAGCTAAGTACAGTTTAATGAAATGAAGTGAAAGTCATTATTTAACGACCACTCAATCGATTGTCACTTCCTTAATGAGCCCTTTCAGCACGATGGGAAATAATTAATTTAGTTTTTTGTCCTTCGCTCTGCCTGTGGAAATTTGATTGTGTTTCTCCTTTATGTGTTACCTCTTTATGGCAGTGGTGTTGCATGAATCCATGTCCCTGTTGTGACTCACCACACCGTGTGTCAAACCATCATTTGTTTTGTTTCTCGATGGCGCTCTAATTTGTTTCCTTTTTTTTTTTTTTTAATCTTGCAGGTAAAGAAGATGAGTATCCCAAGAAGCCTTTAGGTCAGCTTCCTCCTGAGGTGGCCCCAGTGGTGGTGGTGAACCACGTGGCCAACGGGCAAAGCCACACCAACCCTGCGGAGCCCCCCCAGGACCCGAATCCGCTACCGGTCCGTCAGCAGGACAGTCGGCCCCCCAGCCGCTTACGCCGGGACTCGCTGGAGAAATCCATCCGCCATCACAAGGCTGAAAAAAGAGACGCTCGCTCAAGAGGGTCGGGGGAGATTCCCAATGATCAGCGGAAGCATTCCACTACACCTGAAAGGGGGGCCCCAACGCCCTCAGCCCCCGCCCCGACACCCCCGGTGGATCGAGGGAAGCCTCAGAGCCACGCCACCGCCAACCACAACTCCAACGCGGCCTCCAGCTCCCGCAAAGAGATCACCCCCCGCTGGTTCAAACCCTCAGACACAAAGCTGGAGGCGGTGAAAGCGGCAGCCGCGCGGAACGTCCACCAGAGCAGGGGGGCTTCACCGGCCCCCTCCAGCCCAGAGGACAGCGCCCTGGCCCCCCGCCGCCCGAACTCTAAGGGCTTCATCCCCGACACCAACCGCGGCTCCAATGCCTCGCAGTATGACAACGTGCCGGGGCTGCCAGAGCAGGATTTAGAGATCCTGGAGCTTGACAGACCCCCGTCCAGAATGAAGACCCCTCGCAGTGACACCCCCTTCAGTGTGTCGTCCCTCCATCAGGGCAGCCCGAGCCTAGCCGGGAGCACGGTGTCTGTCGCCTCCGGGTCGAGAATGGCCAATCACCCTCCTGCGTTCACCAACAACAGTCCAGGGAGGGTGTACCCCGGCAGCCAGTACAGCACCCCCCCCCAGCAGCACTCCCCGGGCAGAACTACAACAGAAGTTCCCATCCTCCACCCTGCTTACAGCGTGAGCCGGGACCCCCGGGGAGAGGACCGACTCTACGGCCCTCCCTCCCGATTCAACCCGCTCTCCAGCGTGGTGTACGGGGATCGAGCGTACGCCACCACCCAGCGCCAGAACCCCTCCCCGGAGAAAACTCTCATGAACAACTGCTACACAACCTACCGCAGGGGGCCGCCGGGGAACCCCCGAAACGTGAGGCCCCCACCAGAGCACTCCCTGCAGCTGGAAACCCAGGGGAGGTCCACCCCGATCTACCTGCAGCAACTCACCTCCACCTCACAGGTGTACACCCCGGTGGACTACAGGTTTGAGGGGCATCAGAGGGGTGAGCAACTTCATGAAGGCGGGGGGCATCGGCGGCCTGTAGACGGGGCCCTCCCATGGGCTCCAGATGATGAGCGGCCCCCTCATACCCCAGGTGGTGTGCCCCGCTCACCCAGCTTCGAGCGAGCCCAAATGTCACCCGTTCAGGAGTTCACTTTCCCCCCCAACCCAGAGCCCCTGCTCCACTACAGGACTCCACTCCAGGAGCCCGTCCTTCGCCAACAGCTCCCCCAGCTGTTCGGAGGGCCACACTACAGGCACGCACAGGAGGCGTTCGCCCTGCAGGAGTCCATGCTGCTGTGATAGACAAATGGCAAGACACTGTAAAAAAGAAAGAACTGAAGTGTAGTCAGACACTGTGGAAAGACGAGCTTTGCTCTCGACGCGTGACCTTCTGACTGTCACGCCGCGTTGTAATGTTGCAGCACGCACCAGCCTCTGAAGTTTCTACTGATCACTTTAAAAACTGACTGAAGATTTTATTTTATTTTTGGATGTAAATCATTAACAAGAGGTGACAGTATATATCTTTTAGAGTCTGATATGTACAGTGGATGTTTTTGTTAATATGCTGAGTTGTTATCAGTAGCAGGGGGAAACTCTCCTGAAAAGGCAAAACTGATTTATTTTCCATCTTTATTTTTTTATAGTTACTTCCAGATATTGTCAATAGAGATGGATCTACTCTATATGCTCGTGAATGTTATTTTTCAAAAAGAAGTAATAATACCGTGTCCCAAGATATAATTAAAGAGCACTGTGCAATTCGATTTCAAATTTGCAGCGGCTCTAATGTAGAAAGTGATGTTAATTTTGTAGTCATTCCTTCCCCATTAACAGATGTGCAATTCATTTCTTTTTCAAGCGTGAAGTACAGTTTGTTGGGTATCTCAGTGTACTTTTTGGTTAAATTCTGACCCCAAATACAGAGCTCATTGTGAGGGCTAATAATATATATATTTAGTTTTATATATTTTGGTTTGCTGGCTTTAAGCCCTCTGATTGGCTATGTAACTATAGGTCACATGTTTTTTCATTAATGTTCGATAGTTACCACATCTTGAGCACATGCAGCCGAGATAGATGTGAAGGCGTTTCAGTTTTATTTTGTTTGTTTTGTCTTGTTTTTCTCAACACTGTCATATCACTACTGTTTAGCTGCTGTCAAATGGAGTCATCTGACACTGACACACACACACACACACACACACACACAGTGAGAGGCACACATTTCAACATGTAATAAGTCACATTATTATGATTATTCATCTCTGGTTCATTTATACTCAAACAGTATTGCCCTTACTGTTCATTACATTCCCTAAGTTATCTTTGTATTTGTTAAACAACTAATTGCAAACCATTCTGATACTTTGCTTAATAAAATGAGGTGGGTTAAAATGAATCTTTGGCTCCTTTTTTTTCTCATGATGCCTTTGTCCTCTTACAGCGAAACTCTGCCTCCTAGTGGGCATAAGGATAGAGGCAAATAGGTAAGTATACACTATTACAAAGGAATTAAAGCCTGTGTGAAGTCTCAATATGTTTCAATCAGGTTTCAATAGCTTCTTTGTCATGTGACCCAGTATTTGCAATCAATGTAAAAATGTTTTGCAACACGGGCAGGACAAATCTTTTTTTTTCTAAATTACTTTTAATTATAAATGACTTTTCTGACTTTTTTACTACAAAGAGCTGGACAATGACTTTTTTTAGATTAGTCTTTTTTTCTCATTTTGACATGTTTTTACGATTTGTTTACACACTATACTATGTCCTATTTCTCATAATTCCGACGTACTACACTATGTAGTTTTTTTCAGATTTTTCCACATACTATACTATGTCATTTTTTCTGATATTTTCGACATACTATGTCCTTTTTTCAGATTTTCGTTATTTTTAGATTTATTTATTTTTTAAGTGTATTCGTTGACGGGCAGGGAGCCAGTGTATTGAAGGACGGGGGTGATGAAATGGTCAAAAAAAACTTCAAAGTATTGTATGTAACAAAAATATCATAGTATTTAATATGAAACATGGTTATTTAGAGGGGTGTAGTCATAGGCACAGTAGAGTCCAACCTTTAACTGTCCGATTGTAATGCTGTGTTTTTTTCCTTTCCTGATTGGGTATAAGTTACTCAAACTTATAAGGTATATAATGTACAGATAATTTTTTGGGAAAAATATATAGATTTTAGAAATACACTGGAGAAAGAGGAAGAATACAAGTAAAACCAAAACAATGAATAAACTTGACATTTTCTACTCTTTTTGTATTTATTTAAAAGGTCAGATTTATTGCTGTACATAATGGCAAAGTAAAAACATATTTTCCTCTTTGACAATTACAAGTGGAACATGACTGAACATAAAAAGAAACTGGGGTGTTCTTCATGGCAAGTGGACCTGCTTAGCTGTGTTTTCCTTAAAAAAAAAAAAGGTGTGATTGATAACGTTCTCAAACTGCATCTGCCACTGTTACACTCGTTGCCTCAGCAATGTGATGATGTTTTAAACAAGTCAACTGTAGCGTAGTAAATTAAAAAATAAATCTGTGGGTCTTTTTTAACAAAATGCTTTAATATTTCGGGGTCCTACGACAGACCTGCTGCAGCAGCGTGTGTAGCACCAAGATGTGGCTCAGTCTCTCCATGTCACCTCCACTTCATCTGTTCTGTACCTATGAAAGGAGAAATGTTAATGGACGGATAAAAAAGAATGACTGCGCACAGTCAGTTGGCGACATTCAGTCGATCAGATCAAAGATCAACAACTTATCTACACTTCAATTCGTTTGACTTGAAATAGGATTCACCCTGGAGGATTGAAGGTAATAGTTACATCTATACTGCTGGTGCTTTAGCTGAGTGTTGATTTTCATTATTTTGTACAAAAAAAAGACCAGGGTGAATTCTACCTTTGAGTAATCCACGAGTCTTCTAGCTCCGTCACCTGACCGGACCTAAACATCTCCCAGCCAGCTTGAGCAATCATCGCTCCGTTATCAATGCAGAACCTGTGAAACAAAGTGAACACTGTTATCTGGACCGAACCTGGAACACAATGGTGCGACGGACCGAAATCACAGGCTATTTTAGGAACTATAGAGGTTTGTTACATTACTGCTAAATGTTTTTCACGGTGTCTGAAACTACCTGACATCAAACAAGACTTTATTTTAGACAATGTGTTTATCATAATGGACTTCTCAACTTAAGTGAAATATTTGTGTGCAAATAACAGCACCTGAGAGGGGAAACAAGCAGTGTGTGTGGTTTGTTGTAAATCATATTTAAAATGCAAAAGCATTGGTTCAATTTGATGTATACATAATTTACACCGATATGGGACACAAACACCGCAGGATAGGGTCAGTTACAGCGTCCTGAGTTTGAGTTTTTTGACCCAGTAATAGTGTATGTTTACAAAGATTAGAGCAATTTAAGTTTTGGTCCAGGGACCTTCAACCTATTGCTCATTCGTGGGAATCTAAAGTGAATCATTTGAATGTGTATGTTTACCGTTCATCTGTGGCAAAAAGCTTGGCATTTCTCTCCTTACACATCACCCCCATCATCTCCTGCAGACGCAGGTTACCTACAGAGGAGCCAGGGGGTCACATGATCATGTCATGATATAGAATGTCAGAGAAGTCAAACAAAAAAAGTGTCGTAAAAAGAAAAGTGTTATAGTATGTCATAACAGATGTCAAAAATATCATAGTATAGTATGTCATGAAAATAATGTCATAAAAAAGTCAAGTGTAGTAGGTAATTAAAAGCATATTAGATCATAGTATATAATAAAAGTCCTACAAACACATAGTAATGTAGGTCATATAAATTGATAAAAAATGTCATTAAGTATGTCATAAAAATGTCTTAGTCTTAATGTCTTAATGTATGTCATAAAAAGTCATAAAATAATATTTCATAAGTAAAGTCCTCGGCATTGTATTAAATGTAGAAACATTTCATAAAATATCATAGTATGTCGTAAAAAAGTGAAAAAGTCAAAGGGTGGTTAAAAAGTCCTAAAAGTAATATAGTATGGCATGTCAAAAATAATTAACATATTCCATGTAATAAAGCTTTATAGTATAGTTTCTGATCAATAGTGTAGTGTTGAAAAATGTCATTAAAAAGTGATCAAAGTCATAAATCAGTGAAGTAAATCATAGCGCTGTATGTCCTGTGAACAGGTCTGGTGCACTTACAGCCAACACCCCCCACTATCAGGACCTCTCCGGAGCCGCAGTGAGCCATGGCCCTCTCTGTGATCTCCACCAGCATGGAGAACACCGTCTCCTGTGGGGAGGGGGGGGACTTTAGTGTTGGGCGACACTATCAAATTGGCTTTTACTCATATGTATAGAGCAGGGGCGTCCAAACTACGGCCTGGGGGCCAAATGCGGCCCCTGTTCCATTTTGAATCGGCCCGCAGCCAATTCTAAAAGTATAATGGAATACGACCGACACCTGAAACTTGTGCTCGTCTTATATTGTACCCAGTATTCATGTGTTTATAAGCACACTTTTCAAATAAATTCCATCAAATAAAGTTGAAAATATGTTCAAACAAATCTTAGTTAATACAAAAAAAGCCCAATAATTGAATTGCATAACAAGCTTGAGATATACCCTTCCTACTTCCCCTTATTATAAGCAATGAAACCCTATGGAGAGATGTGATGTAGGCTGTTATTTTCTTAAAGGTCCCATGTCATGGCCATTTCTACTGATCATAATTCCATTGTTTACATTGTTCAATGTTCCAAAATCAAAAACATGTCTCATACAGCATCTCTGTATAGTATGTGTATTCACTCTCTGTCCTAAACGGCTTGTTGGAGCTCCTGCCCCCCCCTCCCTATGAGCCCACTGTGCTCTGATGTGTGATTATGTGTTACAATGGCGTTTGTTAGCAACCAGAAAATGACACCAGTAAGGACAATCAGATGAGAATGCTGTGTGGGGTCTGGGTGCCGTGTTGGCGGGACGTTGCGGGGCTCGCTGCTCCGCCATTTGCTTTGAGGCTCGAGGAGCGGACAGTGTGAGCTGTATTACTGGTGTCATTTCCTGGTTGCTGCGAGTGTGTGGCGAACTGTGAGTGGAGATCCACGGAGACGTGGCTAAGAAAAGATAAGGCTGAGTGAGTGTGTGTGTCTGAGGAGCTCCACGGATTGGTCCATTGGGACCTGGGTATCGTTACGTCACTATACTCAGGAAGAAAAAATGGAAAAATAGAAATCTCCAACGAGGCGTTCTGGGGCAGCACAGACAGGTATTTTCTGTGTTAGAGTTTTACTCGCTACAGGGTGTACTTTGAGGGTTTGTGACTCTGCAGACCGTTTACATGCATAAAAAGCTAACACAAGGGGACGGGTAATAACCAGAAAAGCATGACATGGGACCTTTAAAGCATATTCAAGTAACTTATAATTTAGCTTATGAGGCAATATACCTCTAGTGAGTGGCCAGGCCCATCGTATGCTTTTCTGTATGTGGCCCTCAGGGAAAAAAGTTTGGACACCCCCGGTATAGAGCTTTTTAACTCACTTTGCTACACAGATTCAGTTAGAGCTATATTATTTGATGAACTGATAGAGATGGTTGTACCTGCAGGGAGAAGCACAGGTCCTCTGCTGAACACTGACCCGAGCTGATCATCTTGTGAGCAGCTTCCTAAGACAGAAAAATAACTGTTAGGATTATGAACCAGAAAATAAATTGACAGTGGAACAACTGGAGCAATGTTGACTGTTGAAAGCCAAAGTTGAAAAAGGGAAGGAGATATACATTTTTTTTTAAACTTAGCTAGATCTGTAAGTTACAAACGCTGCTTACTTCTCAGAAAAACTTGGTATAAGCACCTCGGAATTCTTACACTTGTTCCTTGCTTTGGACAGTAACTTTGAAGTTAGCCATGTTGCTAACAGCTCATAAACACGTTTTGTTGTTCACATTACATTTAACTGGCAGCTAATATGTTATCTCCATTTGTTTGGAAATAAATGCCATGCGTCCTGTGTTGTGCAAAGCTGTGAGGAAAATGGAAGAAATCCGATGGAGGCACCAGCAATAATACTACTTGAAAACACTAAAAGAGAGAGTTTGAACGTTTGTCACAAATGTTACACATAGTCAAACACAGCAGAGAAGAATAAACAATTATTAAGATACAAGCATTTATTGTAGACCAACACTTCCAAGGAAGAGCAAGCCACTCACCTCAATGTAAGAGGTAATCCCAGAAAATGAGACGTCCATTCCTTTTACTGTATATGGTAGCTCCACATACTGACTCCCTCTGACAGCATGGACAAAAAGCAGAGGTAAGTATTTATCATTAGTATACAAACTAACATTAAGCACACAACACTGGAGCTGCTTAGTGGCTCTCTTACTTTTTAGCCATCTGCTCGATGTTGTATCCTGGACTGGGGTCATTGGAAATCTGAGTGGAGAAACATTTCCAGATTCAGTATTAAAGGGGACCTAATATGCAAAATCCACTTTTTCATGTATTTTATCCATCAACATGTGTCCCCTCTGTGTAAAGAGATTCTGAAAGTTTCAGGAAGAAAGACCACTTCTCTTTTTGTCCTGATCCATTTCTATAAAAACCTGTCTGAAAATGAGCTGATCAGATTTTGGCCACTTTATGATGTCATAACGATTTTTTGGCTTGTGTAACCATTACCATCACCAACCAAGGTAACCCCCCCCCACCTTATCACCTGAATCTCCTCCTAGAGCACCATTGTGTTCTTTTTAACCAAATATCTCTCAGAGGGGCGTGGGGAGGGGCTCCTTATTTTCATCTAAAGTAACAGAGAATCAGCACTTTGGAAACAGGGCTGAAACAGAGCGGATTATGGGATGCTGCAATGATCTATTTGTTATTTCGAGCCAAACACTTCAGAGACATGTTTTGTATATGTATATATGACCTATAATATATTGATGAAAAACAGTATAATAGGGGACCTTTAAGGCGAGACACGGCAGGCAAAAACATCGTTTTTCAAGTACTGGTCAATTTTGAGATTTTGTGCTATTTTGATTCCATAACATGTTTTTTTTCAGGCTTTTGGAAGGAAAACGTACAAAATACACATTTAAGTGTTTATTTTACTATAGTTTGTCTATTTGCGTCTGTAGATTTCTCCTAAATTCACCAAAAGTTAGCATTCTAACGTAACATAAAGTACCGCGACCGCTGAGTGCACCATGTCAACAGAGGTATCGCTGGAAAGCTCCGTCTCTCCTGCACAATCTCATCAGATCCAAATATGGTCATTTCCTTTGTATCAGCAACCAATCGTGAAAGCACAAAGGGGTCTTAAACCAAGAAACGAAATCTCATTGGCTGGTGTCAATTTCTGACAACGTGATTCGTTCAGATGTGTCACAGATGTTATATTTCTATCAATATTATGAAGGCTTTTACAGAAGGGTTTGTTCATATATCATTCATAGCCTGAATTATACAACATTGTATACCTAAAAACATGGTGAAAATTGATATTTTAGGGCTGTTGACAGTATTTTCTGAGTGATAAAAAGAGATATCCAATATCCCTTCTGTAAAAGCCTTAGATACTAATATGACTACAACATGAAACAAGAATTTTGAACCTGGCTTTATCCAAAGTTCAGATTTCGATTCCTGAAATGTGTTAAAATATGTGCATATTTAATGAGATAATGGTTAATTTGCATATTTAAACATGCTATTTCAGAAAACTTGTAATACAAAAAACAATTGCCTTATTGTAAGTAATTAACTGGAGACATTTCTAGCTGACACCTTTAAGTTAACAAAATGACCCTATTCACCTGGGGTGTCTCGCCTTAACACACATTTATCACAGGCAGCAATAGGCAATTTATTATTCAATTGAAAGTCATAATGGTACACACCTTTATAACTCTAGCAAACCTGTCCAGGCAGTTGCCAACTGCGATGTCGATGGTCTCCCCAAAGATTCTGTATCGCCGCTCAGAGTATGCAATAACCTGCACAGGAAGAAATGACATTTATACATAATGAACTTAAAACTGCGTATGTTATAGCTCACTCTTTATACACAGAAACCGACCTGTGTGTTTCCTCCACTGACGTAAAGCACGGTGGGGTTGTCGGCTTGTGTGATGAGTCGGCCCATCTCAATGTGTGCAATGCAGTGGTTCACACCGAGCAGCGGCTTCCCCCACAGCTGGGCAACTGTACGAGCCACCAGAGCCACCGTCACCAAGGGAGAGCCCATACCAGGACCTGATGAAGCGACAAAGGACAGAATATTCAAGATTAAACTGAATGTAATGTCACATGCACATCAGCTTCAGTGTAGAAATGGCAATGAAAATCTTATGACCCGAGCTCCTCCAACAATGCATCATAGTTATATAATAAAATACAAAAATACAAATAGAAAATAGTGCAAGAAGTCTATATACACGTAAATAGAATATGATAATAATTACATTTACATTCTGTTCTTGTATATGATATATCATATTCTATTTACGTGTTCTTGCACTATTTATTTTAAATTGTATTATATAACTTTGTTGGAGGAAAAAGAGAGGTGTTTGTGACGTTGGAGTGATGATGTTACATTCTGGTTTGAGAGAAAGCATCATATCGTCTGTCCGTTTTTTATAGATAATGAAATACTATGTTGCACCAGTCTGAATACAATTTCCACTTGCTTTTTTTCTCAGCCAATACCTGTGGATGAGAGTAGCACATAGCATAGAAATGGGTTTCTATTGTGATACCATTCAATATCTAGAAAAATAATATACATCAAGCTATTGTGCGTTCTCTTGTAATGTCACTGGAATGGATTCTTTTAAATCAAAACCAGTATGGAGCCTGATGAATCATGTTATCATTGTTCTGACAAACATGTGACACGTTCATATCTGATTCTCCCACAAGGTGAACACTCAGCATGTTATGTTACCTTTGGTGAATGCCACACAGTCGATGTCTGCAGGCTTCAGCCCTGCTTGCTCCAGCGCCTCCTTCAGGACAGTCAGAATGACAGCACGGTGGTGCCTGGCGGTGTCACTCGGCAAGAAACCTGATGGGTAAAAAACCAGGTTGTTAACTTCACATCCAAGATTGTTAGACTTTTACATATCACCGGTAAAGTGAAAGGGACAACTTGCCTTGACCAGGGGGGGTAATGTAGGTCCGTCTCGGGTTGGACAGCACTTCACCATCCCTGATGATTCCAATGCCAATCTTATTGGCACTTCCCTCAAATCCAATTACTATAGTCATGGCGGCTGAAAGACATTTACAGGAAATAGAATAGCAATGAGTAGAGGTGACTAATGCAGTGTGTCTTTATATGGAAGTGAGTAATAGATTGCATTACTTAATCTCTCTTAAAACCCCATTATTTGCAAGATAATAGAATCATGAAAATTAGGTGATGGAGAAATAACAGATACTCAGCCTTCTAGCTTGATGGTTGTAAATAAAACTTAATACAAATAATGCTTTGTTTTTCATGACAGTTTGTCCAGTGGAGTGTTCTCAGGGCATTTACCTTCATTTAGCAACATTTAGCAAGGTCTGCATGTGATTAAACTGGGGTACTTTAAAGAGTCAAACACTTAAATATCTAACGGGATACAACATCAGCCTCATGGCAGATGCTTTACCTACAAAATGCCTCATTATACGTTACATACATAAATACTTTCCACATGAAGCTAACCCTAAACCAAAATAAGGCTACCTGTGTGCAGTACATGAAGCTAGTAGTGCTAGTAGTGTATAATTGAAGTACCGTGAAGCTAGCACAACTAGCTTCACGGTACTTCAATTCTACATTGAATATTAAATTAGACATAGGCCTACCTATCTTATTGCTCTTCTTCGGTGGTTCACATGTATTCAACTTGTTTCTACTTTTTTAATAATAACTCTTCTACCTCCTGGATGTATTATAAGAACTTAAGTTCAGTACCTCATCTGGAGGGTCCCAAACATTGGAAGCTGTAGAGATGGCCTGACCAAAAAGCTATGTCCGAATAATGTTTTACCTCAGCAGCATCTTAGAATTATGTTATATGTAATAAAGAAGTCATAATTGTGTAGTTTTGTCAATTAAAAAATAAAACACAGTGGGAAAAAAACGTGTTTTGTCATTTATAATCAGGCACAATGAGCAAAGACAGCGCGTGGTCGGAAATCATCGGTGTGCTTTGTGAGCGTGTGTGTTTTGGAGGAGAAGAAGAAGAAGAAGCACTTTGTCTTTTGCATCCTGTTGAGAAAGTGCAAGTAAGATTATTTGCATTTCATTTTCCTGGAACGTGTAGCTGCTTGAAATGAAAACGTTTGCGTAATTTAACTGCATTTGCATTTGGAGATAAATTAAATAAGCTGCGAATGAGCAAATGAGTAGCTACCTACCTCCATTCATTCAGCAGGCCGTCTGCTGCTCTTTGTCACAGAGCAGCTAGCGTTAGCATAGCTTGCATTTAACACGCAAACACTTCCGCTGTTTTTGTTTGCATGCATGTCTTTTACATGCATACTATTAATTTTGCATTCAGCAGTTAGCAAATACGTTCATATTTTCTATTTAGTGCGTTTGGCTGTATGCTCAAACCCTTTGTCAGAGTTTACTGCAGACCGTAGAAAGCGGCTGAGACGCAATATTTGTAAATAGATGCATACTTGTAAACAGAAACGTTATGTAATACAAGGACACTGAAAACAACACTTATATTATATGACATGCATTATTTGAAGATACTCAAGCTGATATTCCTTAAAGTAATTTGATAACTGGAAAACTTTTTACCATTTGCTTTGAGTCACTATAAAAAAATAATAGACCGTTATGTTGACCAATATAAGCGTTATTGTATTTAATGTCTGAAAATGTTAATGTAAAACAAAATTCATAATGATACAGAACAAAAAAAGCCATTTCTTTCTCTACAGTTAAACCTGCAGATTTGTTGGCCTTGATGACAGTTGAGTTTCTGACTTGTGTGTTGTTGTAGCATTTGCCACTTCTTTAACAATCTGTTTTGTTTTTCCAGCGGCTCGTGTGCTGTTGTGTGTGCGTGTTGTGTGTCTGCAAAGTGTGTTTGGAGCCAGGGCCAATTTAAGTATGAAGAGAGGAAAGAAGACAGAGGATGCAGCTGCCGATGAGGAAAATGACACAGGCTCTGGTACTACAGCTGTTCTCTACATTAAAACCCTTACACACATTGTCCTGACTTAAATATGTGGCCTGACCCTATGTCTTTATTTCACCTGATAGCTTCAGCAAAGAAAACAAAGAAGGCGAAAGAGCCAGAGGCCCCGATACTGTACGAGGATCCTCCAGACAAAATGACCTGCAAAGATGGACGTGAAGCCAACATGAAGCTCACTTCCTGGAACGTCGACGGTCTGAGGGCATGGGTGAAAAAGAATGGCCTGGATGTGAGTTAACAATGAATATAAGCAACATAAAGGATTTCCTGAGTTTAGTATTCAGATTGGTTTTAATTGAAAATGCTTGTGTTCTCCCTTCCAGTGGGTGCGTGAGGAGTCTCCAGATGTTTTGTGTCTGCAGGAGACAAAGTGTGCAGAAAAATCCCTCCCTGCTGCCATCACCTCCATGCCAGAGTATCCTTACAAATACTGGGCAGCGTCCGATGAAAAGGAGGGTTACAGTGGTGTGGCCATGCTCTGCAAGACTGAACCCATCAAGGTCACCTATGGCATTGGTGAGTGGTGTCTTTAACTGTTTTCATTTAAATAAATGAACCATGGGCTTTTAATAATCTTTCAAATGCAGGGCATCATTTTAACTGAGTTTGCCAAATACAGCTACAAACTGGGGGCATTCATTTCTTAAAGTCTCCACTGGTTGTGATGCAACTGCTCCAACATGCTGCACATAATCCCTGTAAAATTCAAACTTGTTGCCTTTGCACTTTTGTATTACTGGAACTGAATACAACTTAAACTGAACCTTCTCTACCTTTCTCCAGGTAAAGAAGAGCATGACAAGGAGGGCCGTGTCATCACTGCCGAGTTCCCCACCTTTTACCTGGTGACCGCCTATGTGCCAAACTCCGGCAGAGGTCTTGTGCGCCTAGATTACCGCAAAACCTGGGACGTGGACTTCCGGGCGTACCTGAGCGAGCTGGACATACAGAAGCCCCTGGTGCTGTGTGGTGACCTTAATGTCGCACACCAGGAGATCGACCTGAAGAACCCCAAGGGGAATAAGAAAAACGCAGGCTTCACCCCTGACGAGCGCAAAGGCTTCACCCAACTGCTAGAGTCCGGTTTCACCGACAGCTTCCGCGAGCTCTACCCGGAGCAGACCAACGCCTACACCTTCTGGACCTACATGATGAACTCCCGCTCCAAGAACGTGGGCTGGAGGCTCGATTACTTCGTGCTGTCGTCCAGCCTGCTGCCGGGCCTGTGCGACTGCAAGATCCGCAACAAGGCCTTGGGAAGCGACCACTGCCCCATCAGCCTGCACATAGCTGTGTAGCGCAACATTTTACATGACCTTTACCGTTTTCTTACTACTGCCATTCAGAATCGGGTAAAACTATCACGTATACCAGTGTTTGATAGAGTGAGGTGTTCTTACATGTGCTGTCAAAACTCACTATTTCAGTAGGCTAGGCAGGAGCTTAGATGTGTAGTACTTTTAAATCAAAGTTTTCACATGAAACCTTCAAATAATGACTCCAAAGCACAACGCCCATTTATCCTGTTAATGCAATTAAAGTCTGTCATTAAAACAAAACACCTAACCATTGACAAAGCGTGTTCCGGTTTGGTTACTGATAAAAGGTTTGTCAAGAAGTGTTTGGCGTTGCTTTACCAAGAAGCTAAATGCGAATAGTGGAAAACAAAAACCTTTTGAGGCGAGCATAAAGAGAGTAAAAGACAAAACAGTTTTTCAACAGTGACCCGTAACTGGCTACAAACAAGCCTCCATGCCAGTAACCTGCAGTATGTTTGTGTGTTGCTGAACTAAACCACTTTTGCGATGGTTGTGATGTGTTAAAGCCCATTATGTTTGAAGCTTCTTTTCCAAAGCAGTGTTCAATTTTTTTTGTAAAACATGCTCACAATAAAGATTGGATGTATGCAAGACTTTATTCCGTTCGTTATGTGATGACTGACTCTCAATGATTGGACAGATTAGCTACACCACAATGCAACTCAAAATAACACATTCCTCTGCTCAGTGTGCTTAAATCTACAGCTCAGGGAAAGATTGAAAGACCCCTCTACATTTTTCTTAAATCTCAATCTCTATATATAGGGCAACCATTCCATTCCAGTGTCTGTTGAATTCCAACACAGAAATGCTGTCAGTAGTTCATAGAATAAAATAATAATAATTTACTATAAATAGTAAAAACTGATAATGCTGCAGTGGTCTCTTAATTGTTTCCAGAGCTGTAGCTAGAACACATTTTCGAAACAATATAAAGTCATAATCTAAGTACAGTTACTTTTTGTCCTATTCTAATCTAGCGTCAAACTATATACCCTTCAAAATATTACATCTCAAATGAAAAACCTTGACTATGTTAACTTCATGCTATGTGTCCGTTGATGCATTTTGAGATTGTACGACTGTCTGAACCCCTTCCCACACTCGAGACAGGGGTATGGTTTTTCCCCTGAATGTGTTCGCTGGTGCCTCTTCAGGCGGTTGGCACTGAGGAAGCTCTTGTCACAATCGGTGCACGAGTACGGCCGGACTCCGGTGTGGTAGCGCAGATGTATGGTCAGGTAGCACGACTGAGTGAATCTCTTGCCACAGTGGGGGCACTGAAAGGGCTTGTGGCCCGTGTGGAAACGTTCGTGCTTCAGAAGCTCGGCGTGGGAAAAGAAGCCCTTCCCGCAGTCAGAGCAGAGGAATGGCCGCTCGCCTGAATGAGTCAGCTCGTGTCTTATCAACGTCGCCTTATAGACAAAGCTCTTGTCACACTGCGAGCAGCTGAAAACGTTTTCCCTGGTGTGGCACCGCTCGTGCTTCTTCATGTTCCGTTCCCTCTTGAAGCTTTTGCCACAGAAAGAACACATGAAGGGCATTTCCTCCGAGTGGATCTTCATGTGGCTCAGCAAACCACCATTGTAGAGAAATCCCTTGCCACACTGTGTGCATATGTGCGGCCGCTCCTTTTGATGGATGCGCTGATGTGCGGAGAGAGCTGCCCGGTAGGCGAAGCTCTTTCCACAGTTGCAGGTGTGCACTCTTTCTTCCTGGTGAGTTTGGAGGTGCCTGTTGAGGTAGCTGGCACATCTGAAGCCCAGGTCACAGCGAGGGCATTTGTAAGAGTGCTCCACCTTGTCAGCATCCTCGCCGTGCGTTTTTAGGTGTCTTACAAGTGCAGACTTCCAGGCAAACGCCCGGCCACACTCTGAACACAGATACTCGCCGTTCTCCATGTGGGTGCTCTTGTGCTCCCTCTGAGCCACCAGCGACTTAAAGAACTCCCCGCAGATCAGGCACTCATACCTGCGCCCCGACTTGTGCGTCTGCCTGTGCCTCTCCAGCGACTGTTTGAAGGAGAACCGCCGTCCGCATTGAGAACACAAGAAGGGCTGCTCGCCTGTGTGGATGCGCTGATGGGCTTTCAGTAAGGACTGGAACTTAAAGCTCTTCTCACAGTCAGCACAACTAAAACGTCCCTCTTCATCTGTAAGGGGCTGAAAAGACATCTCGTCATCCTCAGCCTCAACAGAGTGGACATTTTCAATGTGCTGCTGGACCTTTGCTTCTTCTATGTGCTGGAAGGAGCACTTAGAACAGTGGATCGAAGTCGATGAGCCATCTGCCACAAAACCTGTTTGAAAAATAGAATAACAGTGTTAACTTAGGAGTTTTTCTTAGAGCCATCAAAAGGGATTTAATGCCGCATTTCCACTACAGCGCGGAGCGTGGTTGTTTTTGGTTGCGTTTCCACTAGGCGTAGTTCCGGCTAGCGGGTACTTTTTCACAGTTTTTCTGGCTCTCCAAAATCGAGGTTCTTTCCGGGCCAACAACCGGGCTGAGTATGCTAAACTAGTGAGAGAATCGCTGGCAACTACAACAAAATGAACATATTTTAACGTGATTAAATTGTAATACACGTTTCAAAATGATGCCGAAGTAACAACATACT